CAAAAGTTTAGTGTTAAGAGCTGCCCAGGATTGGACGGCACACTGTTAGTATTATGTAACTTCACTCCCTTTCTCACATGCAGGTCATGAGGTCACCGGATGTGGACAATGTGCTTAGCTGATGTAGTACATGGCACATGGTGTGGTCAGCCTCACAAACAGTGGACAGAGAAACTGTGTGGCATACTTTTAAATGGATGACTGATTACAAACTTAAACTGCTGAGTAGTTTTCAATAAAGTTGATCACAAGCTCTACTTGTTGTTGAAATGCCAGACCGACGCACACAAACATGTTTTCTTTGAACCCAGCTATGCAAACACAAACCTGAGGAAATAAGTAAACTGACAAAGCTGTAGATAACAAATCTGCTGTGTTTCTCTTCCTCAGGGGAGTAAGCAGTGTGGTGCGCCGCTGCGTCCACAAGCAGACGTCTCAGGAGTATGCAGTGAAGATCATCGACATCACCCCGTCAGACAAGATGACTTCGCAGGAGATCGAGGAGATCAGAGAGGCGACGGTGAAGGAGATCGACATCCTCAAGAAAGTGTGTGGACAGGACAACATCAGTAAGCAATCGACAGAGGCTGATGACAAATGTTTGTGTCTGCTCTCAAGTGATCCACTTTTCAAGTCTGATAATATTATAAATAAACTCAAATTTCTCTCTCTTCTCCAGTACAGCTCAAAGACTGCTATGAGTCCAAAGCCTTCTACTTCCTAATTTTCGACCTGTAAGTGTCAAATCACAAGTTTCTCCGTTTTTAATATTGTTGATAGAAAAATTATATTTGTGTCATTTACCTTCATCCAGGATGAGGAGGGGTGAACTTTTCGACTATCTCACAGAGAAAGTGACTCTGAGTGAGAAGGAAACCAGGTAAGTGAGCTTTTTATTTCACGTTTGAAATATTTGCTATAACGTAAAAGAGACTGAATAATCTGAATTTTTAAGTGACCTGAATATCTGTGTTGGTTTAAGAAAGATCATGCGAGCACTGCTGGAGGTGGTCCAGTTTCTTCATGGCCAGAACATCGTCCATCGGGACCTGAAGCCTGAGAACATCCTCTTAGACGACGACATGAACATTAAACTCACCGACTTTGGTTTCGCTGTGCAAATCAAGCCAGGACAGAAGCTCAAAGGTCTGTGAAAACATCATTACAGTGTTTAAGGGAATTTCATATAATGATGATCTGAACGTGACCCACATGGCAGTTCATCTTTAACCAGAGATTTACTGACATGAATGCAACGGAAACATGAAGTGTCCTGTCTCAAGACGTGAACTATGTTTACAACCTGATGTGAAGCTGCTACAGCAGCTGCTGCTGCTGGTGAGCAGAGGCTTCTAAGAAAGGTTACGGTGCAATAGGAGACTCTGTTCTATTTGCTGCAGTCGCAGAAACTCGGAGGACATTGACCTTTCAAGTAGACTTCTCAAAAAGCATCATATTATTAGCATAAGGAACTGGCACTGTGAATGTTTGTCAGAATGTGTACTCATAATACTGTTTGACATGTAAATAAGGGATGTGTATGCAAGGTTATTTAAATCACTAGGTAAATGGTATTATTGACACTCTTTATAGATATAAGTTGCACAAGTACTACAGTTCTAGTGTTCAAGGGGGATAAATGTTTGATTGTCTCAGTTAAGGAGGTCATGTTTTCTGCGTCCTTGGTTTGTCTGCAATTAGGATAACTGACAAGCTGACATGTTCAATTTATGAAAAACATGGACTTGGTCCAACCCTTCCATTTCAAATCATGTTTGGTTTTAATAATTTGCTATAGGACTTTTGCTTTTATTAGAATGACAGAAAATCCTTACCTTATGCAATATAATTTTTTATGTATTTATATCTCATGATTGCCTCATCCTCTTTAGACAAACATTAGAAACCCTTTGTGTTTTACATTTTCGGCATGTTTCTACTAGACAACAATTGGTGAAACATAAAGTATTGTAAATGTGGGTACTTTGAGTCATAAGTTTGTTGTGTGTATTGCAGAAGTGTGCGGGACTCCAGGTTACCTCGCTCCTGAGATCATTGAGTGCTCCATGGATGGAGGGCACCAAGGATACGGCACTGCTGTAGATATGTGAGTGTGCAGAGTTAATGATGTATAATTAATGTAATCATGTGTTATCTAAATATTCCAAAGTTTGTGATCAGGATAGTTGGTGTAGATATTGTTGGCACACTTGGTAAGTCTAGTTTCTTCTGCTTGGTGCCTGCAGATGGAGCTCAGGGGTGATCATGTACACGCTACTTGCAGGCTCTCCGCCCTTCTGGCACAGGAAACAGATGCTGATGCTGCGGATGATCCTGGCTGGGAAGTATGACTTCTCTTCTCCAGAGTGGGAGGACCGCTCGGACACTGTGAAAGATTTGGTGGGCTTTTTTTTTAGGTTTTTTTTAAAACTGAAGCAATAATCTGATTGGGTTATGGGAATCTAAATATTTGAATGCTCACAGAGCTTGTCCCTGCCTTATGTATTAATAAAGTTTTAAAATCGCTTGTATCAACAAGTACACAACATGTGAGGTTGCAGGTTTTAATCACACAACGATGAACTAAACTGAGTTTTTCCTCAGATCTCTCGGATGCTGGAGGTGGACCCGAGGCAGCGATACACAGTCACCGACGTTCTCAACCACTCGTTCTTCTCGCAGTATGTGGTGGATGAAGTGCGACAGTTCACTCCATACAGGCGCTTCAAGGTGAGATATTAAAGCCTTTTTCAGAGACTAAATACCTTTGATTCTCAGTGACTGTATATAGATATGCACACAGCTTACCATTAATATTTTATTTGTATTCCTATCTCTCAATGTGTCTGTTACAAAATGTCATTAAGACAGATAAATACAAGTTAAATTTGACTGAGAGATGGCACCCAAATGTTACATTGTGCTTCATAACACCAGCAGGAAATTTCTCTTAAATTATAAACCTCCAACATGCCAGATGTACAAATCATGACATTTAGACTGTATCTTCCTATATTAACTTAATTATATTTGCTTATGTATTACTCAGTTTTAGCTGTTATATCTTTGTTAAATACGACTTAAAGTAAAAACACGTGTGTAAGAGTCCACACACTCGAAGCTGCTACAAATCACATTCAATTCAAGGAAGCACCACGTGACCATTTGGGCCCTAGCCTTTCATCAGTGTCAGATATTCCCTTAGTTCTCTGCCACACCAGTGAAGCTTTCCCCAACTTTCCTCCATCAGGTCATCTGCATGACTGTGCTCGCCACGATGAGAATCTACTGCAACTATCGCCGAGCAAAGCCCGTCACCAAGGAGGTGATCAAGAGTGACCCGTACGCCGTCAAGCCCATCCGCAAGCTCATCGACGCGTGTGCGTTCAAGATCTATGGCCACTGGGTCAAGAAGGGACAAACTCAGAACAGAGCAGCACTTTTTGAGAACACTCCCAAAGCCATCCTGCTGTCCATGGCCGCCGAGGCAGATGAACCCATACACCACATCTGGTAATGAGCATTTAATACTCAGGACACATCTGTTGCAGCGTCAGGAGGACTTTGAACTGGTTAAAAATAACCTACTGCTACAAGACCTTCCAGTCTGTTGTTCAATAGTGTGAGCATTTTTTGCTCTAAACTGTTGAAATGCAGCATTGGCTGTTACACTGGGATTGATTTGTCCTAAAGATTATAGGAGTGTGGATAACAAGACTTCAGCAATACTGCTGTTGTTCTACACTACAGGCTTACTGTGCCAAATGAAGATTTAAATAACTAGTTGAATAGCATTTCAGAGAATACATTTGCACATGTCCCCAGGCACTTAGTCTTTAATTTCTGTTGAATAGAACAATGACATGTTGACACAAACGCATGTCGCACCCAAAGCAAAACTTGTTTTAGATTCCAGGAATAGAACCTGTGTACTTGAACTGCAATGAGTTACACGTGTACTGTGTGGCTCTTTGATCATTATGCAGCATGAACTCAACTGAACCCCAGGGAAAATTTTAGGATGATAGCACTTTAAAAATGTTGGCCGTGGATTATTTATTAAAACATTCAAGTTAAAAATCAAAGTCTTGTCATGATAATGTTTCAACTTTTGGTGTCCTTTTGCATCTTTGTTCAAAACCTTGACTCTGGTATAGGAAACAAATTCACAAGACCCATTGTTAACAAAGTTGCACTTTATTTTAACAGAAGAGTGAGGAGCATTTTACATTAATCCATAAAAAAAACAGAGGTTTTTTTAAGCAAAATTTCACAGATACAGTCTTATATTTCTCAGATGCATCATTGTCAACCTTACCACTCATGAAGGACTCACTTTCTCATGTTTGTGGTTGTCCTGCAGGATTTAAGAAACAGGAGGGGAATCAATACAAAGAACAAAAAAAAGAGGCAGAGCACAAGAGCAGCATTTTAAAATGTATCTTTGTACTCATTTCTACACAGTCTGATGAGGCTGAGGGAAGCACTCATCCAGTCATTAAGCAGAAGTGAGACGATGCTTTTGCATGGTGTCTGACTGTATCCATCACAGACCAGCTGGAACAGAATTCGTCCATGCCCTGGTGGTTATTTATTTTAGTGCCAGATAAAAAAAAAGAAAAAAAGATTGAGTGTGTACAAACATACCATCCATCAGCCTTTCTCCACATGCTGGAGGTGATTTGTTGCAGCTGTTAACAACTGGAAGCATGACAGATGCTGCAACAACAAAAACAACACGAAAGAGGCAATGAGATTAATTATTGTACTGGTGTAATATGTTGTTGAGATGTGGAACTTAAAAATAATTTTGTGAATGGGACAGACCAGCATCAGTTTCAAAAGCTTCACATGTGAAAAACCCTGAACAGAATTGCTGATTTACTTAAAAAAAAAAAAAAAACGGGCTGCAGTCACATTCAAAGTTAGACATGTTTCTGTATCCACTTAGACTTAAGGATGAGGCACATCACTAGCGCTCTCATCCTGTTGTTGAGTCAGTGTGTATTGTCTATTATGTAGCATGGTGTCTGACTGCATTTACCACTTCAAGAGTAATACAGAATTCTGCCATGCATTCAAAGAAAACATTTGTGACTGGGCATGATGTTGAAAACGTCCAGTGTGTTACTGATGCCTTCCGATGCAAAAATGAGGAGAAGCTGTCCTGCTTACCTCCACCGCATGGTAGCCCATGTGTTTCAGGGTGGCAGAGTCTCCATCCAGTCAGCTCTTCCCCCTGCTATTTATCCACTAAAACAATCACAAAACACAACAGAAAACACAAGTCAACAACACTGTGAACACAATCCATTTCTTTTAAATCAACCTGAGCAACACTTCCAACAACCTCGCATACCACTACTAACTATTTGAGCTTAATATCAAACTAAAACAAACTTGCACGAATCACAAAATGTAACATTAAGAATAAACTATTATTTCAGGTACATTTTACAAACCAAAATAACTCATTTTAACAACACGTCGACTTCAGGCGTGGCCTCCTCCACGTGCAGCACATGTCTTCAATATCCTCACAGGCCTAAAAAAAAAAAAAAAAAAAACTCACCCACAAAAGGTGTGTACATTTAGAGTCATTCCAGCTAGCTATTACCTGTAATTAGTGGTTGCCTTCGTTGCCTGGCCGAGCAAGTACGACATTTACTTTTCAAAAAGCTCAATGCAACGTTAAAACTCTCCGCCGACTTGAATGTGGAGCAACCTAATTTGCAGGGTTTTTTAACTAATTAAAACACTTCCGCATTCCGTGTTCTTCTCCGTCTCCTTTTTTTGTGTTCAGGTTTGCGCGCATTGCCACCACCCTCTGGTCTGGAGTGTACACTGCATGACTTATAGGATTATTCAGAGTATAATTCTTTGTAGGTTGCCTTTTTTCAGTTTTGATTTTTTTGGCATTTGAATCATTCGAATACATTTTTTTTAATATATTGAGTTTTTTCAAAAGCAAGCTGTGCAATGCTGCATCTAAATACACTTAAAAACAATTAGTGACCAAGGTTGCATGCACATGATAAAAAAAAATTGGCTACACCCTACACTCATATGAGTACAATTCTACAATTCACTTAGCAGACGCTTTTTATCCAAAGAGACGTACATCAGAGCGTAAGTACAACACAAGCAAGGATCTAGAAAAAAAGGGAACAATGTCAGTAAGAGCAAACGATCAGCTTTGAGTCCGATTGGACACACAGGTGCTGACAGGCATTGCACAGAGGCAAAGCACAACATTGACGGCATTTCTTTAGAGCTCTAATCAGTATAGAAACCATCTTATAAGTCATCGTTATCAAACAAAAACCATCGTCACAACCATCATCATCATCATCAGTAATATCGAGACCATCATCATTAAGGTATTCATGAAAGAGCTGGGTCTTTAGCTTTTTCTTAAAGGTGCAAAGGGACTCTGCAGATCGAATGGAGTTTGGAAGTACATTCCACCACCGGGGGGCGACAGAGGAGATGTGAGCAGTAACTGGGAGCCAGTGTAAGGAGATGAACAGCGGAGTGACATGAGTAAGCTTTACTTGTGGATCATAAAATAAGAAACCAAGTACTAATGCTTATACTTAGTAACTATAATTAACTGCAAAGTATTATATTAATCATGTGACCTTAATTCTTGTCATTGTTTACATCCAACATCAGGCCTGCGTTGACTGGCTGATCAAATAACGCTCACAGAGCACTGAAACCTAGACACCCTGCTCATTGTTGCCTCAGCTGCCAAAATACTAACTGCATTGCGTGGGAAATAACAAACTAGACATGGAACACCTATCTCTCCATTTCCGTGCAGCCTCTGAACTCTGACAACCTCAAAATGTACATTTAGAAAGAAAAATCGACTAATTCTCAATCCTCAGAAGATATGCCAGCAACCAGGATTGTTTTTACGATACGTTAAGTGCAGTGAAGGGGGAACTTCATTACGAGGGCTTTTGCAGAATCGCAACGTGTAAAGGTCAAGTGATTAAGTGTTTTAGAGGCTGCAGCTACCAACCATTGTGCTACAGATCTGTATTTACTCTCTTACACTGTTATGCCCCGCCTCAGCTCTGATGAGGAAAGGAGGCGATAAAGAATTTAGGACAGACTCTTGTACAACTCGGCTAGACACTCTCTAACCAAAGAATCAGCAAAGCAAAAGAAGCTACACCAAATAAAGGCTGAAAGGCAACAACCATTTTTGGAAAGGCCTGCAGGACACCAGCACCTGAATTTAACCATCCCCAACAATCTGCAGATTTATTGACCCTGGATGTGTATTACTGTATAGTTTCGTAAGCTGACATTCAAACCACTTCCTCCAAGCCAGTTCCTCCAACACCCACTTCTTCACCAAAAGGGCCATTTTCAGAGTCAGAAACAATCCCTGTGGAATAATATTTAATCAATGTCTCTCTACCCCTCTCTCTCTCTATATATATATATATATAGGCCTAGCAGTTATAATAGCCTATGTATTTATGTAGGCCTATGTGTGCACACAATAGGTTTTTTCTTATAGGTTTTTTCCAATAGTATGTAGGTATATTTTGCAACCTAAAAGCAAAGTCAAAATCCGCTGCAGTGTTTCACATTTTCTTTCTAAACACTTAGAGGTCTGTCTACCCCTCAGCAGGAACCCATTCAACTAACTCTTTCAAAGTCAAGTCTGGATCAACTGTATGAAGAGTCAACACCATTAATTAGAGATTAAACTTCTCCTTTAATGTCCTTTTTTTTTTCTATACAGAAACATAAGGAGGACATAAATGAATCTTATGAACACTCTGCGGTGCTCTCAGTGTAGATCGCTATTAGCCATTCATTCGCTGTACAGTTTATGTCGTCATGGAATCGAGCCAGCGGGTAGTGGGCGGTCCTTCACCTGCTTCGCTCTGATTGGTCCATCGCCCAGTGCTTCTTCTCTTTGGCGAACCCATTGAGTGGTCGGCTAATGCTGAAGCTGCTAGTAGTGCCTTATCAACGCTGCCCACACCAGTAAGTACCAAAGCTTAACTTGTAACACTTTTTGTTTGTTGGTTTGACAAACGGCATTAGCCCACACTTTCCGCCGATTAATCCCTCACGGTCGAAGTTAAAACAGAGGCTCCAGAAGCGCTTGATTCATGCGAATGTGACCCGAAAAGGACAGGTAAATAATAAATATAAAATAACATCTCTCTTTTTTTTTGGACGATTATTTTCCTAACGTGGTGTAACATTTTTTAATTTTATTTACACTGTCGCTTGCCACCGTGAGACACACAGAGAGAGCGAACAAGAAGCAGCTCGTTTGTCCGAGTTTCATTGTCTTCATGTGTGTTTTTCACTCTTCCTCGCCATCCTCTGCTCTCTGTAGTGTGTGCCTGCTGCGGGGTGACGCAATACGTGCAGAGGATGTCTGTATGGGCCTCTTGCAGTAGGCTATATGTTAGATTTATGTAACGCTTTTGTGTCTTACGAGCGGCCCGGGACACGTGTTTATTTTGAGTAGCGCCTGGTTGATGCAGAAATATTTGCACATAGGTCTTTCATTCAACGGATCTATTTGCTGCTTCACTGGGTAGAAGACATCCACTGCATGCAGGGCTTAGTGGCACAATGGTATCATGCAAGCTGCTGGGCAAAAAATCAAACACCTCACATTTAAGCAGCAAATACAGCATTAGATTTATCCTCGGTTGACTTTCTAAACAAATGGCAATCCCTTGACAATGCAAAGTTTTCTGTCACACTTGTAATTCACAGGGAACTACTTCTTAACAGTCTCATTAAAAAGTTTATTTTTGTCTTTGCAGCACGATGTCTTCACTTTCACAGACAAAGGAACTCTTCAGGAGAGCAGACGCTGTCTGCTTCGATGTGGACAGCACAGTTATCAAAGAAGAAGGCATCGATGAACTTGCCAAATTTTGTGGTGTGGGGGATGCAGTCACTGAAATGTACGTGTATTAAAGAACAAATATGTTTGAAATATTAAGACACAGAAATCTATTAACTTTAACTATTCATTCTCATAAAATATCAATCAAAAATATTTTTTTTGCTTTCACATTTCAGGACACGCAAAGCCATGGGTGGCTCCATGACGTTTAAAACTGCACTTACGGAGCGTCTCTCCATCATCCGATGCTCCAGAGAACAAGTGAACAAACTTATTACAGACCACCCACCTCAGCTGACTCCAGGTATTAGGTGAGTGATGTTCAGCAAGTGTCCCCAAATCAGCCTCAATATGGGAGGACTGGCATGCAAATGGTACACAACCATCGGATACGGCTATATGCTTTTTGAATTAAAGCCATTTAAGAATAGAAACATACAAAAGACTTCACCCATTAAAAGTAAGTGTTTTAAACGTGTGTGTATCTTCATCCAGGGAGCTCGTGGAGCGTTTACACCAGTGCAACATAAAGGTGTTTCTCATCTCAGGCGGCTTCCGCTGCATTGTTGAACATGTGGCCACTCAGCTAAGCATTCCTCTACATCACGTCTACGCCAACCGGCTCAAGTTCTACTTCAACGGTAAGTGCTGGAGGCTGTTTATGACTTCTCTCTGCTTTCACAAGCGGAGCATCAAATCGTACCTTCATCCTAATATTTAATTAGATTTATATTTGTGTATTATTGTCAGGAGAGTATGCTGGTTTTGATGAGAGTCAGCCCACAGCTGAGAGTGGTGGAAAAGGGAGGGTCATCAGCATGCTGAAGGAGCAATACGGCTTGAAGACCGTAGTGATGATTGGAGATGGAGCCACTGATCTAGAGGCCTGTCCTCCTGCGGTGAGTGTTAACACAGGGTGTCTTATAATGGAGCTTAATGTGTGCTTGTTGGAAAGTTCGTTCAAATGGATTATTGAGAACACTGTTACTCATATTTGGTGCTATAGTGTGATAACAGTGTGATCTTTCCGTCCCTCAGAGTGCATTCATTGGATTTGGAGGAAACGTCATCAGGCCGCAAGTTAAAGAGAGGTCTTTGTGGTACGTCACAAGTTTTGGGGAGCTGCTAAAGGAGCTTGAAAAGATCTAAGATGCTACAATAGTGTTTTCCTAACCCTTTTTTACTATTCTTGCACCAGAGGAGGTGCCTCTGGGTTTAACTTGGTGCACTTTTTTTCCCTTTTCACTCTGCATAGATTTCTACAATGACTGAAAATGTCAACTCTAGCCAGACGCATTTTACCTTCAAGGGGATGTTAACTGTTGATTTTTATAGTAGTAGACACTAAACAAAACACACTGTCTGTGTGGGGTTTAAGAAATATTATTTTTGATGTTTCTGCACTTTTTAAGTCTTTTGACAAACTTACACAATTCCTTAATGTTACGGCAAGTGCAATGAGTGATCGAGATGTTTCAATTCAGTATGAATGCTAAGAGCTGTAACCAGACATGTCAATGAGTGTGTTAAGAACATCAGAATAAAAAAAAATAATGTTATCCAAGTTGCTGTTTGAACTCTTTTAATTGTTTGTAACTTTCTTGTCCTTCCCTTACTGTACTCCATGAACTGAGGGGGAAAAACGATATACATGCTTCCTTTTGACAACTCTGATTATTCAATACACAGCAGCACAAGTTGGTGCTAGATTCACTCAGCCACTCGTAGACAACATTTCCAGAGCTTCTGATGCAATGGTCATACTCCTTTTAAAACATGTTGAATAAAAACCGTCTTTAAAATCAGGCATGTCGTCTTCACAAGACTAAAAGTAGAAGCCACAGACATGAACACAGCACCATGAAACATCAACATTATCGAACAGGACACAGAGGAAGAGCCAGAAAAAAAAAACCCCACAACTGAAAGGTGTAGTTTGCAACAAAAAAAGGAAAGATCTATTAGAATCAAATCTGAAATTTTGAGATTTACATTCCACACCATTTCAGACTTAATAATAGTTTTATTATATATAGAGGCTTTCTCTCATCACTCAGAAATAACATGGCTTTTCTTTTAGTTGCGAAACTCAGTACACATTTAACTTTTTTTTTCTCCAAATTGACATTAAATAAATAAATAGCTCATGCACTGTGCAGTGAACCTCAGTAATTCTTTCCTCACGCCACTCAGCTGCTCGTCTTTTCAAGTAACTTTGGTTGATTATGAACTTATGTGAGAGCTTTGGAAGGCCAAATTTTAATGTGGCACGAGACGTCAGCAGTAACGACCATCAGGAGGTTTCATTTTGCCAAATTAACTCATCCTGCTCCAGAACCAGGATAATAAAAGAAGCTGTGTCTTTAGTCGCGTGGAGTTTTTTTTTTTAACCTTATATATATATCTTTATGGTAGAAATAGAAGCCTCTTGTCTGAGTGGCATCTTGAAGTCATAAAACAAGAACAGAGAACTGATGTTTGTTGTCAGCACTGAAAGGAGGCTGAAACCATGATAGTGAGGCTCTTGATGTACGTATCCATTATGATGCCTGCGGACTTCTTCCTTTTACTGCAGTGGAGAAGCTTTTGTGGGGATCATGATCCTGGAGTCCATGTGCTGAATGAGGGGAACTGTAGAAAAGGGAATAACAATGTTAGAGCTGCTTTTACACCTGTTGATACAGAGCTCCCAAGGTGACTTAAAGCTAAACATTCCTTTAAAAAACAAATAAATAAAAAAGGAATAACACTGGCAGAAAAGCCTTTAAAAAGTTGACCTTTTTGAGAGCAGAGAAGTTTAATGACCAAAAGTGTTCACTTCGCTTACCTGTGTAATACACCACCTCGTCCCAGCCTTCCTGCTGCCAGGCTCCGTTCCTTGTGTCTTCTCTAGACTGAAGGTCTTTGTAAGCTGTAGGTAATCAAACATAAAGCGTTACTTTTAAAAGATGAAGTCACTGCATCATGAAATTTGTCATTATCAAATTTTATGTTGAATTAATCTGGATCCTTTTTTTAACAAAAATGAAGTTCTAAGAACTGCAACAGCATACAATGTGTGTGATAGCTCCTGGAGAGTATTTGAGGTGAGATCACCTTTGAAAAATGGTAATGATTCATTTTAAAGCACAATCTGACAAATGAACAATTGAAGCAGGTATGAACCAAAATGAAATGTGTTGTGTCCCAGTGATTAATTTGAGCCAAATATTCAGGCTCTTTTGGTGTCAAACCATTCTAAGGAACTCCTCATGTTCACCGGCTTGTCATTAAACAACATCCTAAACAACTTTGTCAGCTGGAACGGTATTCAGTTACAGCTATAGTAGTATATGCTGCTGCTAAAAATGTAGAAGAGAGCAGTGAAACTGGCAACAAAAAACTAAGTTAAATGCTCTGTAGAGCTAAGAAGAAAATGTAGGTGATTACTTTGACAGGGTTCTTTACTGCAAGTAAGGCTCCATGTTAAAAGTACACTTTTGATGTAAAGAGCAACGTGATCATTTGTATACAAATATCAGTAAGTGCAGCATTAAGTCCAATAGAACTACAGGAATGTGTCTGTTGTAATTGCCTAGATTAAGGGGAAGACTTTAATAGGTAACAGAAGTTGAACACTCTGGTAACAAACCCACATGTTTTTAGATAGTGGAGTCAGCAATGTTTGCATTGCAAAAGACTTAAGAAATAATTATCAAGCCTTTGATTGATTTTCTGAGGAACAACTGATTTGTGCACTACTACAGTTATCTACATAGTGACACTGTCAGCATGTGAGCGTACCCCAGAGGTGATGAACCATATAGAGGTTGCCGATCTGCGAGAAAAACCCTCCCACTGCTTCTCTGTTGTGCTGCCGGTACCCGATGGCCCGAGCCCTGTGGACAAGAAAAAACTTCAGTCACAACGCAGGCCAAAGAACACCAAGGCTTCATCTGGAAAAACAAGACCAGGCATGCACAGGCAAGACACTTGATCAGAGTTCAAATAAGGATTTCAACATAATCTTTGACTTGATTTTAATATTTGAAATTTAATCGTGACTGTTTTTTTTTTTTATGGAATCAGTCTGTTCTTGTGATGTTGTCTAGAGTAGATGGCTATCTGAATACTTTACTGCAGCATCACATCTAACACTAGCCACATTATTGTGAAAGGATTGGACTTGTGTGAGTTTAATGCTTTAAATCTGTCACGTTTTCCCCAAAAGAAAACATAAACCCATCCAGAGCATATTCACTGTATGGAAACTAAACTCAAAGGTTTCAATTCTTCATGTTTTTGTTACTTGAAGAAGATATTTTTTTTGTCTTCGGCCTTCAATAATTGTATGAAATCGCCTTAAAATTGCTTGGCTGGTATTATCTGGATGACTAAAGAGGTTTGCTCAGTCAAAGGCTGTTTAACAAACACAAGAAAGAAGAGTAGTTAAAGGAATATTTACTTTGACCGAGAGCAAACTTAAAATCCAATTTGTTTTTGGCTTCAGATGTCAAGTCGGCTTTATTAGAACGCTGTGAAATTTTTCGCCTCAAATTAGAAGGCATGGATGGTTTTAAGTTGTATCTACGTATAAAATCATGCAGCAGTGGCAGGAACGACTGGAAAAAGACGAGCAGACATTGTAGCAACATTTCTTCATTTGCCTTCATCTGTGTGTAGGGTTCAAGACTTATTGTGGAATGTAATCTGGTGGATTTAGCAACAAGAAAATAATGTAAACTAGTCAGACAAGTACAGAAACAGATCACTGAAAAAAAACCTTTTCCCTTTAAATCAATTGCAATCAACTGCATTCCACAAACTGATACACTTTGACCTGTTGGCTCTGTCCTCTTCGGGCTTATTTCACTATAAATTATAAAGTGCACACATGTGTAGTGTGCTTAATATTCCTGATGAATTTGAGCCTTGACTTGAGAGTGTGACAGTGCAGCTCTGAAGTAGAGCCTCTCTGAGGAATAGATCTTATTAACAAAGGCCCGATGAGGAAGGTTTCATGTAGTTCAACAATTCTTTAAGTACTGTTCAGTGAATCAAATGACTGCAGGCTGCCTTACCAGTAATTACCCCACTCGATCATGGTCCCTGGCTAGAAGAAAGAAAAGAGAAACACCTTCATTACAGTCAAGCACCTATAACATTCTTGAATACAGATTTATATCACACGTTCTATCCAAGGCAAACACTTTAAAACAAAATAAATGCTCAAGATGCAGCGCAGGTATTCTGTCGTTAAGGAGATAAGCTGCAATAAGAGCTACATCTGAAGCTTCTTCAATCATTTTCTGGTGCTTAAAACAACAAATGCCCTGCTGTTTGTATCTCAGTCTGTGATGAAGGATAATAGCCTGCATTCATCACAGGAAACACTGATCCAGAGACAGTTTCCTCTGTCAGATTAGAAAGACAACTTTAATCTGCAGGAGCTGATGTGTATTGAGGATGTAGAGCTTTCAATTTAACTACCGATCCTGATGAAATCAGACAACCCTGGATTTCCAATTAAGTCCAAAAAAAAAGATCCAGACTGTTTGCATAGTGATGAGAAAATATAGCACAAACATGACTGAGCAGGACTCTCATCCTGACTTATATCACATTACATGTCTATGTAGACAACCTCTTTGAGGTCGGAGGTCATTTAAAGGTCACAGATTCAAAACATGTGACTGCAAGTTGCGTGTTACATTCTGTACAGACTATAAAGTTATTTATACATTTTAGTGTTTATACAAAAGTGATTTTTGGCTGACGTTAAAAACATGCTTACATTGTTGGTAAAAGTGTTGTTTAAGTTGGAAAACGTAAAGGCCATGACGGGCATTAGATTCAATCATTTTCACACCTTCAGAAATCAACAGCAGCACTGATGGCTCATCGTTACAAGCTCTGCTTCACGACTCACCCTGAGCTGGTAGGACCTGAGTTCGTAGATGTTGGGACCCTCTCGAGGTACGGGCTCGTTCCAGAAGCTGAACTCCAGCAGGAGCTGATTCCTGCGAGACATCAGCATCTTACTGCGCTCCTTCCTGTACTCTGTGAATTCCTGCCAACAGACGGACACCAATCAATACTCTTTGCTTCGACAGATGGCTGAACTCGGTTATTAGCACACTAAACTGATGTTGGAAAAAAAGTGTCCCTGAGCACCATTAATCCCTCTTTTATCAGTGCACTGTGTGTGTGTGTGTGTGTGTGTGTGTGTGTGTGTGTGTGTGTGTGTGTGTGTGTGTGTGTGTGTGTGTGTGTGTGTGTGTGTGTGTGTCTGAAATGGTCCCTACCTGGTTCTGCTTGAGCTTGTTCATCACTTCTGTGAGAGCTGGGTATCCACCTCGGTAGCGCCAAAGATGAACTGTGAAGAATGTATCGTTGATCAGGCAAACTGCATTAAGCTAAATTAATAGAAATCAGGGTAATTAAATGTTGAGATAAACTATTTAACGATTACACAACTCTTACACCTTTTTAGGGAGGGTTGGACTTTGGTCAAGTTAACAAGCCCTGCCCTTTTACTGATGACCGTAAGCAGGTAAGGCTTGTGAAATTCAGAGGAACTGATCCTAAGTCTTTACTGCTTATATCAGACTTAATGGTTGAGTATATTAGCTGATGTGATTTAGAGCCAATAATTCTATACTGGACAACAACAAAAATGCAACATAATGTATTTGTGAAATAAAGAAGAAGAAAAAAAGAAGAGACCTTTACAAACAGAAAAGCTCATATATGAAGAGGATAGCACGGACACAATAATGACAATGACATGATAGCACGTTTTCTCTACAGTATTTAGACATCTTAAATCTAGTTTAGCAACCCTACCAGCCTGGTCTTGTTCTCCATACCAGGTATTCCAGGTGCCCACGAGCTCACAGGGGTAGTACTTATCAGCATGGATGGAGGGCAAAAGATCTTCACTGTGAATGAATGAGGAACACCAAGCTCAAACAAATGCTGAAAATACAGCGTCACTACTGGCACATCTGATACAATGAAATGTCCTTCTGGTCAAATTTACAGTCAAATGCCAAAATGTGTTTCAAATGTAAATAACAATTATGTTTTCTGGCCATGTGTCGTCTCTGCAATGTTGCAAGTCTCAATTTAGCGCCTCACTACGAGCACTCATCTTAGGCATGAGCAAGGTTCGCCCCGTGAAGGACCAAAGTCATGCCAGCACATCAATCACTTCACAGAAATAGACTACACTGATTTATTTTTACCCAACACTGCACAAAAGTATGTTATATGGTGCTGGCTTCACACTACCACTGCTGACATATAATTGTGTACATGCAAGTTAAAACAGTTTGCACAAGTTACTGACGAACTCACTTGAGTTTGTTGTAAGCATCCAGGCACTCTGGCTTGACATTATGGACTGAAAGGAAAGTCAGATATAACACATGAACAAATAACAATCTCATTATATCTTTAGGTCAAATGGTTAAATTCAATGCAATAATATTGTGAGGTAAACTTACACTGAATTTTGTACAGATTGCTTTCCTCATTTTTGGTCAGTAGAGTGGAGTGTGCATCTTTCCTGGGATCAACTTTCCTCACAAACAGTGACTTAAACCAGCTGTCCTGTCTGTTGTTGCTGCTCGATGTGGCAAACCCCCTGCAAACACGGAATAATCTCAATTTAAACCCTTTCCTAATCTTACATCCTAATGCATGTTAAGATTGCATTCATATAAGACAGGCATCTTTCACATGAGGAGAAATTTCATTCGAGAAAAATAATCAGTCAGGTTTGCAGCTTTTTCTTTGAAGAGGACTGCAAGAGTACTTGATTCAAAATACCGACTGGGTCAGCACCTTCAATATGCACACTGTCACGACAAAGATTATGGAATACAACAGGGTTATCTACCAGGACCACCTCCTATTGAAGTCATGAAGATATTCACACATTTCTCAGTGAAATATCAAATTGACCTTGAACATTTAAGATGCTGAATTACAAAAACGAGAGAAACCTGTATTCCTCCCCCCTTCACCTTTAGATACACACAGCATTAACCTGTTATATTCCTTGATTTACAGAGTTAATGTGTAGCTTGCTTTAATGAGAGTACAACCTGAAGGCCACTGAGGACTGGCTAGCAGTGAACGGGCTAGCTCGCCCGAGCTCATCGTCGCCACTTCAGAAACACACCGGAACAAATGAACCAGCAGCAAACTACAAACACTACAGACATGAGCACAGTGCATACATGGTGATGTCTGCCCCACCTGCTCCATAAGACGAGCTGTCCGGCCGACTGGGCCCTGCTTTTAGCCCGACCCAGACCACCGCTGACTCTGTGAAGGACTCCAGTCGCCATCTTCAATGGTGCTAAATGACAACAGGCGCTGTTACCGCATCTGACCAGCAGGTGGCAGCGCTGACTTGTAACAACGATCAGGGCGCGCAGTCAGCAAAAGGACCAAAGAAGGAGAACAGGGAAGTTTTTATTTCTATCAACCTATCTATCTTTTTTACTAAGTACTTTAGTATTCACAAGTGTATATTGTAGATATCTGTAAGAGAGAGAAATATATATATATTTTTGGAAGATATAATGTAGATTATATAAAACAAAGGGAAAAAATAGGAAATTGGCCCTTGTAGGCTACTTCTTAAAAGCACTTTTCACAACATGCACTTTGACAAAAGCAAACATGTGTGTTTGGATTATCATTATGTGTCCAAGTGTAAACTGTGAAAATCTCACGGTTGTGGCTGTGCATTACTGATATCCTTGTTTTGATCAGGTTTTTAAAGTTTTCTGGTTCTGTTTTACACATAAAAAAAATCTGGAGATCCTAACTGTGTTTCATCTCAGTTTAATGTGTATTAATATGTTCCTGGAAAAACTATTATTCTCTGGCATGTGTGCATGTGTCATCAAATCAAGTTACCTGTAGGTTAGAGTGAACAACCGCTCCGTCTCCAGTGATTAGACAATTAACACTTGTTTTATGCAGTTTATCTAACTAGTCTTGTCTATACTTAAAAAACTGCGGTGACTCATTCGGCACAGTATGTGACTAAGATGTTCAAGGTGAAAGAGATAAAAAAAGATGATAAAAACCTGCAGAATTATGTTCATGGATACAAGGCCACCAGGTGTGCACGTAATCACACTCAGAGATCATTAGAATTCACAACTAAACTGCACACACATGACTCAAAGGAACCTTGAAAAGCTCATTAACATGTTCCCTGGGTATGATGTTGACTCTAAATTTAGTTCTACCTCATGCATAAAGAAATTATTTTCACCTGGTGCCCCTGGAAACCAATGTGAGTCTAGAAATCTCTCTCCTTAGTAGCCCTTGTAAGAAATTATTGGTAAATATAACAGGAAATAATATTTCATGCTTTGCTAAACAAAAGTTTGTTGTTTTACTCTCAGTAGAATAAAATCCTCCAATAAAAAATACATACATAGATAAATGATCACCAAAAAAAGGGGGTTGTAAATTTGATTGAGAGCCGTTTTTTAATAAGTTTCTTACAAAAGGTTATATCAAAAGAGAATGTTTCATTTTCTATTTGTTATATGCATGCAATTTTGTTTCGCATGTTGGTCCCAAAACCCAACTATGCTAATTGAACAGGTGGGGGCGCTACAGTTCAATCTGTCCCTATAAACAGCAATTTCAAATACTAAGGTAACTGCTAGTTAAAATAAGAGTGTGGACACCATCAAAATAGTGGATATGCGCAAACCTGACTGGAAAAAAAAGCACTTCACTGTGAAATGCTTTTTATATAACAATTCATCTCACCTCATTGAGCACCAGTCACCAGACTTGCAGATAGATTAAAGTATCGTCTTTTAACAAACATGTCTCCTCTCTTCTGCTGTTTCAGGTTTGCATGGTTATGACCTTTTCAATATCTTGTAAGGCTCATACAAAAAGACAGGACGATATGGTGATTTTTTTTTTGTTATTTTCTGTGGATATTAAGGTCCTGGATGAATAGAATTCTTTTGTTGGCGTTAAGGAAGAACATGTCAGAATGGTAGGAACCAGTTGCTCAGAGTTGATGGAGAGGCTGATGGGTTTGCAGCCATGGAGGAATCCAGTACCAGTTGTGATTGATTTATTCTCTGACAGAGTGACTGTGATGCTAACAGGGACCATATTGCTAAAGCCTGCTTGGCTTTAAGAGAAAGACTACTTACCACCAATGGAATTCAGAAACTATGGACGGATTTGTTTTAAGTTCAAAAACATGAATCATAAGGGAGTGATTTCCCAGTGAAACATTTTTGAATAACAAAAGAAAAAATGTGGAGATGTCTGGGAATTTAGATTATGATTGAATCTACCAATATTTTGCTCTTTCTTTTGCAAGAAATATTTCAAGATGGTTGGTTTCTATGTGGAAATATTTGCTTCATTTTGATGTTTTAATTGATTAGTATTATAGTGAATTTAACTGATCAAAGTAAACTGAGTTTGACTTTGAATATAGGGCCTTTCATAAAGAGAATATTTATTCATTGATTGAGGAGGTGATATCATCAGTGATAATATGGTAAAATAAATTCTGTGTGGTCTAACCACAACATCCAGAAAGCTTCTGATACTGTTTGTAATCTCCAAATTCTAATCCCTAATAAAATGAGAACAATTTGACTAGATCTGATATTATTTTGTAGTATTTTAAGGAATTAACAGTCTTAGAGTCAGTGTATCAGATTTTTATATTTTATTTTCATGTCATATGTGCCTGCCAGGGATCCAACAGGGATCATCTTTTGTGCTTTCCTTAGCATTAGCATTTACACTGTAAAATACCACTCACCATTATAACCTAGTAATTTTTATTTTACTTTCTTAACTTCAGCTTTCTCACACTAAATATCTCAACCTTCTAAATAGGACACCTAGGTAAAACTGTAACAGTAAAAATACTAAGCCCAATAATCCTGGCTTCATGAGTAAACATCTTTTTATATCGATTTCCACAAAAAAATTAACTTATAGAACAACTTAGTAACATTTATAGCAGGACTTTTGACATGCAAACTCAGTATCATATCCCTGACTTGGATACAGCTCTTGAACCAGGATCCAATTACAAGCTGTTAACAGGTTTGAGGACATTTTGAAACAAAGCAACTTTAAGAGTTTTGACATGGTTCAAAGCTCTGCATAAAGATGAGTCAATCATAATGAAGGTACAATTACTACACTTAATCCTTTGACTCTGGAACATCCTGCCTGGAAGAAATCACATGGGATTACAAATGTCTTACAAACAGAAACATCTAAATATCTTTACATGTTGTAATGACATGTTTCCCGATCATGTGGCGTGTGCATTTTAAACAGAACTTTGTTAAGACTTCATTTCTATGGTACAAGGTCATGCTGGTTCTGGTTCTGGTGCTTGGTGCAGCTTTAATCTTAATATAATCAATTTTTTTATTTTAGATTCCATAATACCCTCTAAACCAAGGCCTCAAGAACAACAGCTGTGAAAACAGCTGATATGAATCCTTCACTAATGCACCAGAAAACCATGGATGCTATTCATCAGAGAGTTTAGAAATATTAGAAAAAGGGTCTCTGTTTAACTCTCTTAAACCCGCACTTCTAAATTCCCCTCAGCAGCCTATTGTTTACAAGATGTCCTGGTGGATCTCTGGCAAATACAATATCTCAAAGCTAAACTATCTAACCGGCTGTCTTTGCACTTTGCCTCTCCCTCCTCTTATTATTTTTGGCTTTGAAACCAACATGCTTGCTGTTAAAAGCTCTCCAAGAAATGCTATTGGACTTGTGAGAAAATACTTTAGACATTTTGTTTACAGTCATCACTCCTTATCATATCTGGGCACAGCAACGAGTGAATCAAGCACTGCTACACACAGTGGCATTCAAACATTTATAATGTACAATGTGAGCTTATTCCTATCTTGGAATATGTCTGTGTTTTTATTTGAATACTTCGATATAGATAAGAAAAAGACACCTGCCAAGAATGACCAATATTCCGGAGGGATATATTGGTTGTTGACAGACCACTGGTACTCAGACTTTATACAAATATGGACAGGCAACTCATACATACAAAGTTGTATATTTTAGTGTCTGTAATTTGAAAGAAACACTGTTCAATGAGTCATTATAAAAACGTACTGAAAGGGAAAATGGAACTCTTGACACATTCAGCTCTACATAAGATGCCTCTCCCTTTAGTAATGATTACATTTATGACGATGGTGAGAACTATAACCAGATTTATACAAGTATAGACATTATTTTTTTTAAAAGATTTATTTCTGGGCATTTTGTGCCTTTCTTGGAGAGATAGGACAGTGGATAGAGTCAGAAAGGAGCCACAGGCCAGATTTGAACCTGGGCCGCCCACTTGGAGGGCTACAACCTTCATACATGGGGCGCGTGCTCTAACCACTGCGCCACCAGCACCCCAGTATAGATATTATTATGAAGTAGGAGTCTTATACAGAATCTAACTTTATCTATATCAAAGGCAGCGCAGTGAGGGGAGCAGTGAGACTGGTTCTTTTTATAAAAATCTTAGAGGAATAACATTTTAAAGTGGTATCATTTGAAATATTGACGAATGGTTCCCTAAAATGGCACAAAATTTAGTAACACATTTCAAATGATTTTTGTAATTTAACACCATCTGCTGCTGATGTGAGATTGATGCTTTGTGCAGTAATGTTTGGAACATATCCGAATCTCAATCCGTGATTATGTATATCCCATTTAGGACAACAAAGCTATTTACCTTTTTGTATCTTGACTTTCTACTTAATGTTTTATTTTTATTTTCTAAATCTCGTTGACATAGATTCCCAGCAGCATTTTTAGGCTTTAGTGCTACTGCTCTGTAAGCTAGCTAAACACATTCCCACACTTAAATTTACAATATGTTTTCACAGCAACACAACTTACTGAAAGACTGATTACACAACCTAATAAAAGAGTCATTAATAATGAAGGTAGAGTGGATGACACAAGTGAAAGCTCGGGTACAGCAAACTAAGGTCAGTAAAATGGAAAATACTGTCACACAAAATTACAGTGTGAAATATTAAAGAGGTGGAAAATTAGATAAATTGCTTCAGAGGTTGAAAGCTACTATTTTATGCTAAATTGCCTTTTTCAGTGTGAACCATGTAATGTTAACAATGCTGCTGTTTAATTTAAACTCTCCATGTATTAATCTTGGCCAATACAAAAGGGTACATCTGAGGTTTAACCTTTGTATTTGACAGTGAAGTATCCCCTGTGTGGATGGTCTCGTTCGATTATAATGTCTGGCTTGTGTGATATTTTCCACCTTAAATAATCCTTCTGTCAGCCTTTGAAATGGTCATATTTGAGT